GATAGAAAGATAGAAAAAAAGAAAGACAGACAGACAGACAGACAGAAAAAAAGAAAGAAAGACAGACAGAAAAAAGAAAGACAGACAGACAGACAGACAGATAGAAAAAAAGAAAGACAGACAGACAGACAGATAGAAAAAAAGAAAGAAAGAAAGACAGACAGACAGAAAAAAGAAAGACAGACAGACAGATAGAAAAAAAGAAATACAGACAGAAAGACAGACAGAAAAAAAGAAAGAAAGCAAGACAGACAGACAGACAGAAAGAAAGACAGACAGACAGATAGAAAAAAAGAAAGAAAGACAGACAGACAGACAGACACCGAAAGAAAGAAAGAAAGAAAGAAAGAAAAAGACAGACAGATTCTTGTGCACTTGGTGTTTATTAAGGATTAAGGAAACCACCCAAAGAGTTTTTTCCAACTCTATTTTGGATCCTATTAGTGGAAAGTCCTGATTATGGTTTTACAGTAGTAAATATACATAACCGCACTCACTATGATATTTTGGTGTAAACCACCTGTCATGGTAAAGTAAAGGGAAGTAATAAGGACTGATTTACTTTGCAAAATAAACATCACATTACAAAACAGCCTACCTCTTCAAACTATTGTGAATTTGAGAACTAGCGCCAGAGAGAGAGACATGCGTTCCTAAATGATTATTACAGTGACCTTAAACACAGCGAGTCTGAGAACGAGGAGTTGATTTCCCATGAGATGACCTTATGATATTATACAGTAATGTATGCATTTGAAGGCAAGCATGCTTTGAGTGTTTCTTACACACAGCTATGTGAATGAGGAGAGGGAAGGCATGCAGAAGAGAAGCAGCGCCAGTGAGAACATTACAGGCAGAGAGACAGAGATTGCCGCATAGTTTCTGCCTAGCAACAGACCGGCAGAGTGAGACACACACAGCCCTCACTTCAACAGTATTTATTACTTTATAGTTCAAAGGAAAGAACTAAATGAAAGCAGAGGAAGTGAGACAGACACACACACACGTGACAGAGAGCATGTGCATATGTGTCATGTAAGCGAGAGAATTCAGCCTTCTGAACTGTAGAAATGGTCTTTCTTTTTTTCTGTCTGTCTGTCTTTCTTTTCTGTTTACACAAACTATATCTGCCATTTATTTCAACATAAACTCTATTCTCTGGGTCACCCTGTCAATATATAGATTTTGTGATTATCGGCACAATAATCTAGTTATTGCTTTTCCTTAAACATTATTATCACGTGAGCAAAATCCAGTATTAGCTGACCTCTCTAATTTGTGTATATTGATGTATTAGACCATGCATAAGCATGTATTGAATAAAACATGTCTTTACTATTTTAAACTTGCTTAACCAGTATTAAACCAAATATTAAGTGCTAATTTACATGACACGTATGAAGCAGAAATATATACTGTAATTTGTGATGCTAAAGGCTATGCATACGAATAATAAATTATAACAATTAATTATATTATTATGATTATAACAAATTAATATAAATCTTATAAAACGGACTACCTTGAAGACCACAGACAAATCACATAGTCATAACTGTATATTTGAGATTGAACGATATCCTTATTATTTTATAACCGTTCCTGATTATTTGTTTATATGTCCAATAACTGATATGCAGAACTTCTCACAATCATGAATTTTATGCTGATGATTGTTATACATATAATTGCTATAAATGATTTAATTGTGTACTGTATGTTGTTTGAGACTTACATTGTAAGCCTATCACATTATTATATTGTATTTTTACATTTGACTTTTAATGCTGGAAAAATGATCACATATAAATGTTACAATATTTTTCTTTTTTTCGGTTTCTTCTTTGGTTTTCTTTTTGTTAGCTTTGGTTCATTTTACATTCACACTGGAGCCCATTTTAATATAATATAATATAATTTACAATAACGCATTAACATGAACTAACAACGGGCAATACATTTTTACAGTATTTATTAAACGTTAACATTAGATAATAAAAATAAAACAGTTTATTGTTAGTCCGTGTTAGCTCAGGTCCATTAAATAACATCAATAGATACAACTTTAGATTTTAATAATGCATTAGTAAATGTCGGAATCAACATGAAGATGAATAAATGCTTTAGAAGTATTTTTCATTGTTAGTTCATGTTAACTAATGTAGTTAACTAATGTTAACAAATGGAACCTTATATAATATACAGTCTGATTAAACCTACAAGCTTTATTTGACTTTATGTGTGTACTTTATAGCAGTGTTACCATAAAATATATATTTTAATTTTGACTTCAGAAAATAATTGGCTAATTAAAATAAATGTAATCTTATTCATTTATTTTTTTGACATAAATGACAAACGTCAAAATAGTGTCATCAATTGTGTGAAACTCTAACAAGAATGTTTGGCATTATGTGAATGTTACAAAGTAAAAACAGGATGTTTTTCAATCATCACGTACTTGCATTCATACACTGCATGCATAACATAAGTTAACCCTTGATTACAAACTTTTGCATGAGTTTGGTGTGAACTAGCAGTTCAGAGAATGCTTCAGCTCCTCTAAAGTCTGTGGTGTCGGTGGCTGAGACTGTCTGGGATCATCTGGAGTAATGAACCAGTGCGGTGCAGAAATCTGAAACCCCTGCTTCTCCCCACCACATAGGACAAGCTTTCAAATAACTTCACACACACTGCATACCATTTCCATTTATCGAAGAGATGAAACAGACCAAATGGCTCAGTGGTGTGATCATGCTGGACCTGATGTTGTCCTGGGAAGAGCAATGAAGAAAGCACATAAAATGACAGGAGAGGACACTCTGTGAGCTAACTGCTAACCTAAAAACCCAGATTTAATCACAACAAACGTCTTC